CTAGGGACAGGAAATCAATGACCGACATAGGGAGCAAAAATTAAAAAATCATCTTCCTTTTAAGAGGCTGATTTCTGAACCCAGATATGAATAAGGAATGAAATATGAAGTGAACATTTAAATGTTTCACTTACCAAATCAAAATTCTCTGCTTAAACTAACAACCATTTCATTTGAAATACAGAGATAAATAATTCAATGCTTTGTTCATCATTCTTTCTAGTGGTCCACGATCACTAGCCATAACATACATTATCCAAATGAAATTATTTGACAACTCCAAAACAGTTTCAGAATGAATTACTGTTTCTCAGTCCTTAAGTTGCACTAACCTATAAGTTTATCTAGCGCTGATAAAAATCCAGAATTTTCACTTTACATGGCAATTGTACAGTTGTAGCCTTTACTAACTTCAGAGAGGAGGGGGGAGAAAACGAGGTTTACAACTAATAAAGCAAAGCAAACTCTAGGAGTAGGTTTCACTTCTCACCAAAATCTCCAAAGAAACATAACAAAACACCTGCATTTTGCCTGGTCTTATGGAAAAATGATACAAAACCATCCTAATTTATATAAATTCTTTCAAAAACCACAAATTGCTCAATGACAGCCAAAGAACTCAGGAACTGAACAGCTTTGTTGAAACCTAGAACTAGCTGTATTTTGAGTTTTTCTTCATACCTTTACAAAGTGCTTTCAACAGAAACACTATTGTTATAGCCCCATATAGAGCCAAATGTCCAAGCAAACAGAAAGACAACCATACAGAAATGCAATATCTAGATCCTATATACCCTTTTCAATATTAAGGAAGTTCTCAGATGGGGTTCAGAGCTGCAGGGCACCTTAGAAATCCACTTGTAAAATAAGAAAACTGCAGCTGAGAAATGTTAAATAGCTAATCAGGTACAAAAGTCAGGGCTCCACTCAGCTGTCCCAAATTGTTTAGTGCTTTTAGTTAAGAACTGTTTCCACGGAATACATGGCTTTTTAAAATCAGATATACAAACCCCGAGAAAACTTTATTACAGAGATCTCCACTTGGAGTAGAGAAATTGTTAAAATAATTAAAATGAAATGTGCCATTAACAAGATGGAAAAGTTAAGGAAGTTAAATAGAATAACTACAGAGCAAGAAACAAGTATTTTGTGATAACCTAAGTGATTAAGGCGCTGTGTGCTGTAAATATGGAAGCATCGGTGTGTTACAAACATATTAAGAAATTTCCCGTTTACAATCAAAAGCCATATCAATAGTCAATAAAGGTAAAGCCCAAGACAATTAACTGGAAAACCCAATTTTGAATTCTCAACATGTAGAGATCTGTTTATAAGTCAAGAAGACAGAACAAAGAATCAAAGGACAGAAAGAAGGTACGGGTATGATCTCTGAAAGAACAATGAAAACATAACCTGCCTATGTCTGGAATAGGTCATGCTTTCCCCAGTGGGGCGGGAATATTGGGTGGCACAGGCGGGAGGCAGACGGACAGCTCCTGTGCCTGTTTGGGTAGCAGCTCTGGTCCTTCCTTCCTCAGTCCCAGAGGGAAGGGCGGGAAGTCTGGCTGAACACGGCTTTGTGGGTGGACTTGGTGAGGCAGGAGAGAGGCTGGGCAATGCAAGCCCCCTGCCATGTCCGTTGTCCTCTCCCAACAAGTCCATGGAAAGGGGGGCAGCAAGTGAAAATGAAATGCAGCATGTTTTGTGTAAATACATATACTCGACTCACACAATACTGAGTCAATATGTCTCACATATGCTCAACCAAATGGAGGTAAACACTCACCCAAGGGTCAGTGCTCTAGGGTGTGAGACCTGACAAACAGTACGATGAGGGTATGGTCTCCCCCAAATTACACATCTTCTAAGGGATAAATTGGGAGCTTCTACGTGCAGGTGGGAAGAGTTTCATTTTGCTTTGCTGTGCTGATTTGAAGGAAAATTCCAAAGTGAATCATTCAGAAAAACGAGAACCAGGGCACTTTTGCTAAGGAAGGGAGAATGCTCCTCATGGGAAAAAGAACTCTGAGATTATCTAAGGGTCAGGAAGGCAAAAACATTTTTCACATTAGATTTCCCAGAAGCTGTTTGGAATTTTTATAGGTAATCCATTACCAGATGTAACTGTTAAAGAATAGCAAGGTACTTTCCTTGAATAAATATAGTGACAAAGGTTTTAATTTCACAAAAGCTTTCTTTAAGAACTAATCAGGAGTTTTCCATTTATCCCTGACAAGCCTCATTTTGTCGCCCGTTCTTCCTTCCCACTCTGAGGTGACCACATTCCTCTCCCTGTTTACAGCAAAACAAAGACAGGGGGATCTCTGAACTGGCAAGAGACTTTTGGACCATCTGAGGTTCTGCAAAAATAAAACACAGACAAGGCAGCATCCATCTTTGAACTCATTTTTACAACTCTGCCATCTGTAATATTAATGGTAAAGATCCATCTGGCCCTTTTTAGTTTAAAGGCATTTTGTTTTATTGCAACACAGAACCTTGGAACCATTTTTTTTATTTCAGCAGTATAAATGCAAAAATGCATATATCATGCCTAAAGAAAAAAGAATCGGATAGCATGGGTATGTCCCATCCCAGAACACTGTCAGTAGCAGTAGTCCTTTACATTTCTTTAATTTCACCAAACACACATAACAGTGTTTACTCTGTGCCAGTAGTTTTACGTGCTTTACAAATCATAACTCACTTAAGCCGTGTTGTGGTCCTAGGAGGTATTGTACTATTTTAGATCCATTTTAGTGATGAGGAAAATGAAGCACAGAGGGATTGAATAACCTGCTCAAGGTCACACAGCTAATAAGAGGTGGAACTAATTTAAACCCAGGCAATCTAGCTCCAGAGTCCACGTTCCCTCCATTATGCTGCCTCTCAAACTTCCACCAAATCTAAGGTAAACTGTGATTTGTGCAGGATCACCTTACACGTTTATTACCATTTCAGTAATTACCTCATGCCATGTTGTAGCTTCCTCGGATTCAATAACAGGAAGGAAAAGATAAGTACTATCCAATACTATATTTGACCACTGTGCAGTCTTTTAGAAACAAAACGAAGGTACAGAAAATAATAGAATAGTGTCCCATATCTGCTGGGAAAGCTACTGTGCAGAAAGTGGAACGCTAGGAAATCACTTGGATGTTTAAGTTTTGTAAAGCCACTGGACCTTTCAAAGGTCTTTAAACTCATTCAAATTCAGAACTGCCAAGCCAGTGTATATTAGAGAAAATTTAATTCCAAGGTAAAGAGACATAAAGCAGCTCCTAGAGGTTCTTTCTGGGGAATTCCGCAGTTGATGAACTCTAAGAGATCGAGTTTTCTCCATGGAATTCTTTTAGCACATCTGGCAGAGTGCAAATATACTCCTCCGCGTGCTTCTGCTGACTGCCCTGACAGGCTGCCTTCATGGAAGGTGTACTCCACTGAGCTCAGGGCACTCTGCCAGGCAGCCTTGTCCTGGGTGGGGCTGGCGGCCTGTGCACACCCAAAGCACTGCAACATTTGCTTTGGGAGTGTCCTGAAAATTAGGCAGTGAAGGAGGAGGAAACTGTCTCCCTTCCTGCAAAGAAACTACTTATTTTTTATTCAGGAGAGATGTGTGTATTGGGTCAAGAGAAGAATCCTCTCTTCACCCTTTGCTTATCAACACCGGATTGCTCTTCAAATTCCACACCTGTAGCCTCCAGCTGTGCAAATACCTCTGGCCCTGTGGCATAAGACTTTATTTCACCAGGTACCATTCTTCTTTTTTGACCATCTTCCCTTAAAAACAATGGGAATAGACCAACCAGTGGGGGCACAGAACCTTTGCGTAGTTCTTTTGTTTACTGAAAACTGAAGTTACCACCATCTGCCTTTATAAGAAGCAGCAATGACCTAACTGTGCAAAAAGTCTGGCCCAGTGGCTTGCAGGGAGCAGGTAGACAAACTTTAGTCCCCTTTACCTTTCCATCCCTAACCAGAGAGGTCAACCTGGGACTGTCACTCTCCCTCCTTCACAAAGTTAAGGACAGACATCACGCACAGTTCTCAAAGATTGAAATAGCTGAGGGAGTGCCTAGCTTTCCAAACTGAAATTTACCTAATTCCTCATCCTGCCAGCACTTCTCTAAGGCAGGCTCCTCCCTTTCCAGCTCCAGACTTAACTATCCTTCCCTATTTCTCTACGCCCCTTTCTCATCAGCAGTAAACGCTGGGATATATGGCACCCAACTCAGTTCCCACTATCTAACCAGACATGCCAACCTCGTGCTCCAAAGATATCCCAGAAATTTACTTGATAGTTTGTGGATTCTTTTGTTAGGGAGAGTGGGATAAAATTTTAAGATCCAGATAAGATGCTGGGAATGAATTTCTCAAACTTCTGGGATGTGGCTCTGACTTCTACCATTAAAATACCCATTTGTGATCATGTAAAATTAAAAATCAGTGTTCTGATTGGGCACTTATTACATGATGTTGATTACTCATGGAACTTAAAGATGATGGGGTTTTTTCCAGAGGTATTATTGGATTATACTGGGTGGTCCATTTAGAAGCCAGTCAATACAATCTCACTTCAAAAAAAAGGTTTACAAATAGGCCAGTTTATACAACAGCCATGGTAAGGAATTTATAAGTGCTACAAGGTTCAGAGTTCATTTAGTGTAAATACAGTCTAGACTCACTATCTTACTCCCACCTCAGAGCCCAGAGCAAAGGGAAGAGTAAGCCTGATGGGAAAACAAGAGCTGGAGGTATGGAGGACAAAAGCTAAAACGAGCATCCTAGGTGGCTCTCTGTGGATAACAAAACTGGCACCTTCCTACAGGTGGCTCAGGTTGGAAAGTGGCAGAATAAGAGGTCAGGGACTGCAGATTCCGTCAGAACCACACCACCAAGCCTTGCTCAGGAATGAGCCCTCCGACGTGCAGAGCGAAGCCATGACGGATGGTGGACAGCCCGCCCTCAAAGGAAGCTGAATTCCCAGGGGTGATACTCACGCTGACACTGTCCCCAGGACCGGCGGGCCCAGGCCCAGCAGCAGTCAATCCTCCCACCATAACGACACAGGCCAATGGATGACACTATTTGCCTGGGCCACCTACCAAACAAAAAGATTCGAATTAAATAAAGACACTTTCGAAATTAAAAATAATTTCCTCTTTGTTATTACTTTAGAAAGAACTTTTAATCACACCCAACAACTTTCTATGAACTCCTTTATGCCTGAAGAAATAAAACAATAACACACCTTCAGGGAAATAGTTCTGCCATGATCTAATTTCAAACATCAGACAAACGCAGATACAACCGCCCAAGAGTAGGGGGGGTGGGGAAGGGAGGGGAAGATCCTTTCTTACAAGGAAAGAGCACCAGCTAAAACCAAGAATTCTCAAGGCTGCCACTCATAGGATGGTTTCTGAAGCATGAAATAAAACAGATTCCTCAAAGGCCCACACCTGTTCCTGAGAGGAAAGTCAGTTTTGACTGATACACTGTAAACTGAAAAGTATTAAGTAAGACATGTCAAAGCAGAAAGAAACATTTTTTCCGCCTTATATAATAGGTACATGTGGGAAGGAGAAGGAAGGGAGGTTTCTCAAAATCAAATGAAACAGAACTCTTTTCCAGGTATGACTCTTCTTCAGAAAAAGTTCCCAGAAAAAAATGTACTTGAGAAAGAAGACTAAATAAAACCAAGGAGAGTTTAAAGTGTAGCTAACATCTCAAGTGTCCTTGTGGTTTGAAACTTTCCCGCATCAACTATTCGTGTTACCGTCCTCTCTAATGTAAATAAGGACTAAAGCAAGCACTCGATTTCAGGATAAGATTTACTACCAGATTCCACTTTGACACCTTATTTGGTAAATCGGTTCGTTGTTTAGATTCACACCTACCTCAGTGACATTTTCCCCCTAGAGGATCAATATTTTAATTGTCTGTTTTAGACATCTTTTTAAGGCTGTATGGAAATCTTATGCATAATCATGTGATGTATTTCTTGTTGCAAATATGTGTGCAAGAAACGCACAACAGACACGAATGTGGGCAAATAATTACTTTAATAAAATACAACAGCCTCTGGCCGCTACCCACGTTTTTTTTAGCTCCCTAATCTTTTCAATTCCCCTTCCTTTCATCTCCCCCTTATGCCCCCAAGCCCAAAGGACAAATAACCACGAACTTTCCATTTCCTCCAACCAGGTGGTAAACCAGCGGCTGCGCTTCTCTTCAGCGCTCCACTGGCTTCCTCCGTTCCTTCCAGGTAGAAGAAAACCAATCAATTGTGGAATTGATTCGTTCCGAGATTGCAGGAAAAACAGGTGCGGCAGTCTTTCCGGCTGCGCTGGGGCGGGAGTGTGGGTGCCGGTCGTTGCCTGAGGGCGACTGCAGGGCGGTGTGACCCAAGTTAAAAACTCTCCTGGCTGCTCCTGCCTGGTTTCGGGGCGAGTCTGGTCTGCAGTTGCGCCGAGGTGGGGTAACCGAGCACGCCCTCCCGACACACACACTGAGAGACACACACGCGCGCGCGCGCGCGCGCGCGCGCGCGCTCAGTCGCGGGAACCGATCTGGCGATGGGGAAGAGGGCTCCGCGCGCAGAGGCGGGAGGAGAGGCTGAGCGACAGTGGAGCGGAGCACAGCCTTGGGTTGTTGAAACCTGTCAGAGCACGCAGGAGTCAGGCTCGCCCCAAGTCTCGGGAGCTGTGTGTGCGTACAGACACACAGACACCACACAGACACCACATAGACACACGCACGCACGCAAAGTTCCCCACCCCCGCCAAGGAAACCAAGTGGGGAGGCAAACAGGTCCCTCCCTGGAAGCCCAGTCGCTTCCTCTCCCCACCCTTTGTGTGAGCTACTCTGACAGCTCCCAGCCGGGATTTGGCCCCGACCACCTAGAAGTTTCCCCACTGCAGAGCTGTCTAAACCAAGAGCGAGAGTTTCCCAGCCAAGGGATGTCCCGTGCGTCACCTCCTCTGGGGCGGCTAACCCGCGCCCTCAGAACCCAGACGCCCGGCTGGAGCCTCCCCTCTCTCCCAGCCCTCTCTGCCGAGCCGTGGGTGGGCGGCTCGCGCCGCCGCGCAGCCTCTCCCGGGGAGCCGCGGCCGGGTTCCCGGACTCGCAGGGGGCGCGCCCTCCAGGCCTCGGGCAGCCACTGGTAGAGAGGGCGGCTCGACGGCTCTCCTCCCGCCGAGGCTGTGCGGTGGCCCAACTTCTGGAGCGAGAGCAGAGAGGGGGAACCCCAGGGCGGTGTGAAATTAGCGCTGCAACGAGCAGGAGAGGGCGCCCCGGGGTCCGACTCACCTCCCGTCGAACTCCGCGGCCGCCTGCAGATAGAGCGAGGACCCGAGCACCAGCGCCAGGAGGAAATCCATGTTGGGCGGCGAGTCCCGCGCGACGGCTCAGCTGCGCGCGGCGAGCAGGTTCGGGGTGCTGGGCTCGCAGGAGAGGCGCGCTCGGCCCCCCTGAGGAGCTGCGGCAGCCGGGAACCCCTGCGGCCGCCGCGGCCACTGCTGCCACTCTCGGAGGAGGGCGGCGCGGCGCGCAGCCGGAGCAGGTCTGCGCGCGGCGTCCCGAGCCCCCTCCGGCTCCCTCCCCGAGAGGGGAGGTGCTGCAGGGGAAGCTGCGCCGCCTGCGGGGAGGGGCGGGGGGCGCGCGTGCGCCCGACTAGCTGCTCTCGGGGCCCCGGGTGAGGGGTGAGGGCGCGCGGCCCGGCTGCGGGAAGCTCGGGGGCGGGGGCGCCGCGGGAAGGCTGCGTCTCTTGGGGACCAGCCAAGCGGGGTGAGCGCCAGGCTGGGAGGAAAGTTGCAAGCCTGGCCTGGCCTGGAGAGAGCAGGGTGCTCGGCAGGAAAGGCAGAGCCGGGGAGGAAAGGGGCCCGGGGCGGAGGTGCGCGCTCCGCGGGTTCCTTCAGAGCAGGTGATGACCGAAGGGGCGAGCCGCAGCTTTCACCGGAGGGCGAAGTCCAAGATGAGGGAGGTTTGTGGGACTGGAGCTGAGCAGTGTCTGCATGTAGTGAAACCGCAGCACGACTTGGACAAATTAGCAAAGGCAAACTCCGGGAGTTTGCTTCTCCCGCAGAGTTGGCAGAGGCAGATTTTTAAAAATTTTGTAACCAAGCGAAAGAAATGCTTGGCTTCTTTTTCGAGTTTTGAAGAGACAGACGTGCAGACTGTTTCCATCTCTGCCTGCTCAACACTGAGCACATTAGAAGGAGAGCAACGGCTGCCCTTTTAGGGGCACGTGTCCCCCGGAGAGGGAGGGCGGTTACTACTTAGCAGTCCTGTGGTGCCCGATACTGCGGAGATCATTTAGAAAACCATTTTGAACCATCATTGTTCTGTTATTGCAGAGTAAAATGTATTATAAAAGGACTGTTCTTTCCGGCTGCGCTGGGGCGGGAGTGTGGGTGCCGGTCGTTGCCTGAGGGCGACTGCAGGGCGGTGTGACCCAAGTTAAAAACTCTCCTGGCTGCTCCTGCCTGGTTTCGGGGCGAGTCTGGTCTGCAGTTGCGCCGAGGTGGGGTAACCGAGCACGCCCTCCCGACACACACACTGAGAGACACACACGCGCGCGCGCGCGCGCGCGCGCGCGCGCTCAGTCGCGGGAACCGATCTGGCGATGGGGAAGAGGGCTCCGCGCGCAGAGGCGGGAGGAGAGGCTGAGCGACAGTGGAGCGGAGCACAGCCTTGGGTTGTTGAAACCTGTCAGAGCACGCAGGAGTCAGGCTCGCCCCAAGTCTCGGGAGCTGTGTGTGCGTACAGACACACAGACACCACACAGACACCACATAGACACACGCACGCACGCAAAGTTCCCCACCCCCGCCAAGGAAACCAAGTGGGGAGGCAAACAGGTCCCTCCCTGGAAGCCCAGTCGCTTCCTCTCCCCACCCTTTGTGTGAGCTACTCTGACAGCTCCCAGCCGGGATTTGGCCCCGACCACCTAGAAGTTTCCCCACTGCAGAGCTGTCTAAACCAAGAGCGAGAGTTTCCCAGCCAAGGGATGTCCCGTGCGTCACCTCCTCTGGGGCGGCTAACCCGCGCCCTCAGAACCCAGACGCCCGGCTGGAGCCTCCCCTCTCTCCCAGCCCTCTCTGCCGAGCCGTGGGTGGGCGGCTCGCGCCGCCGCGCAGCCTCTCCCGGGGAGCCGCGGCCGGGTTCCCGGACTCGCAGGGGGCGCGCCCTCCAGGCCTCGGGCAGCCACTGGTAGAGAGGGCGGCTCGACGGCTCTCCTCCCGCCGAGGCTGTGCGGTGGCCCAACTTCTGGAGCGAGAGCAGAGAGGGGGAACCCCAGGGCGGTGTGAAATTAGCGCTGCAACGAGCAGGAGAGGGCGCCCCGGGGTCCGACTCACCTCCCGTCGAACTCCGCGGCCGCCTGCAGATAGAGCGAGGACCCGAGCACCAGCGCCAGGAGGAAATCCATGTTGGGCGGCGAGTCCCGCGCGACGGCTCAGCTGCGCGCGGCGAGCAGGTTCGGGGTGCTGGGCTCGCAGGAGAGGCGCGCTCGGCCCCCCTGAGGAGCTGCGGCAGCCGGGAACCCCTGCGGCCGCCGCGGCCACTGCTGCCACTCTCGGAGGAGGGCGGCGCGGCGCGCAGCCGGAGCAGGTCTGCGCGCGGCGTCCCGAGCCCCCTCCGGCTCCCTCCCCGAGAGGGGAGGTGCTGCAGGGGAAGCTGCGCCGCCTGCGGGGAGGGGCGGGGGGCGCGCGTGCGCCCGACTAGCTGCTCTCGGGGCCCCGGGTGAGGGGTGAGGGCGCGCGGCCCGGCTGCGGGAAGCTCGGGGGCGGGGGCGCCGCGGGAAGGCTGCGTCTCTTGGGGACCAGCCAAGCGGGGTGAGCGCCAGGCTGGGAGGAAAGTTGCAAGCCTGGCCTGGCCTGGAGAGAGCAGGGTGCTCGGCAGGAAAGGCAGAGCCGGGGAGGAAAGGGGCCCGGGGCGGAGGTGCGCGCTCCGCGGGTTCCTTCAGAGCAGGTGATGACCGAAGGGGCGAGCCGCAGCTTTCACCGGAGGGCGAAGTCCAAGATGAGGGAGGTTTGTGGGACTGGAGCTGAGCAGTGTCTGCATGTAGTGAAACCGCAGCACGACTTGGACAAATTAGCAAAGGCAAACTCCGGGAGTTTGCTTCTCCCGCAGAGTTGGCAGAGGCAGATTTTTAAAAATTTTGTAACCAAGCGAAAGAAATGCTTGGCTTCTTTTTCGAGTTTTGAAGAGACAGACGTGCAGACTGTTTCCATCTCTGCCTGCTCAACACTGAGCACATTAGAAGGAGAGCAACGGCTGCCCTTTTAGGGGCACGTGTCCCCCGGAGAGGGAGGGCGGTTACTACTTAGCAGTCCTGTGGTGCCCGATACTGCGGAGATCATTTAGAAAACCATTTTGAACCATCATTGTTCTGTTATTGCAGAGTAAAATGTATTATAAAAGGACTGTGTTCAAATGAAAACACTCAGTGATTAACCTAAAATGCACGTTAAAACATCGGTCCAATCAAGTCACCACTCTTCCCAAGCCCTACCCGGAATAACTGCCCAGGCCGGTGATCTGGTCTCCCATACCTCTCCTCTAATCCATGGCTTCCGTACCTTTCTCCCACACTCCAGGCATGCCCCTTGCCTCGGGCTGTTGACTGTTACTTCTGCCTGGAAGTAACAGATATCGGTATGGCTCCCTTTCTCACTTCAGTCTTTGCTCATATGTCACCTCTTTGAGGAGACGAACCTTGACCACCCTATTTAAAATTGCAACCTGTCCCTGCCTGTTCTAATTTGTCTTTTCTCCAAAGCACTCATCTTCTAGTTTCCTATATAATTTGCTTATTTCTTGTTTTGCATGTCTTCTTTCTGCTAGAATGCAAACTGTACAAGGGCAAGTTTCTTTGTTCAGTGCCTGGCATGTAGTAGGTGCTCATAAATGTTTATTGAATGAGTTTGTTACGTTACAAACTCCACCCCCATCTTTATTGTTTTTTTGAGATTTCTCCAACTTTAAATTTTTAATGGAAAGTTCTGTGGCAGAGGGACCTCATTATCTCGGTCTCTTAGTGTGTATAAACACAGGAATTTTCTGCAAGAAAAGGAAAAATAATGGTTTCAACTTAAATGACTCTTTGATTTCCAAGTTGTTTTCTGTTAGCAAAACAAGTTTCTATTTTAATCTCAGGAAATATCCATTCCATTTCAGGCTTGGGACATTATTTTAGGCAAACAGCTTGGTGTCATCCATTTCAGATCTTTCTAAAAATGTAGGAGTCAAAATATTTTTTCTGCAGAAAATCAAATTTTTGTAAGTGTAATGTAGGCCTGGTTCCAGGTTTCAGTGGCTGCTCCTTAGCCATTTTCTTTGTTTATAGGTTCCTGGCTTGAGCAATGGATGATTAGAGAGAAAGGGGCTAACCTACAGGCTAAAAACTGGAGATAGAACGAAAGGAGGATGAGTGGTAGGTGAAAATAGGACAAATGTCTGGAGTAAGTGTGTAATACCCCCTCTGCCTCTTTTTTTATTCCATATATTTTCTTTGGTCTAGAAAACAGTCCATTCATCTTCCTTCTTTTTTTTTTTTAAGTTTTATTGGAATATAGTTGATTTACCATGTTGTGTTAGTTTCAGGTGTACAGCAAAGTGAATCAGCATCTTCCTTCTTCATAGGGAAACGCTCCACTTACCCTTTGGATCCAAGCTTAGCTGACAGTTACCCAGGAAGGAAGCCTTTGTGATTTTTCGCGTGCCTGAGACTCCTGTGGCACGTGCTTCTAGAGCCCTATGCGTCCCCTAGAGTAACTCTTAATGCACTGTGGGGAAACTGCTTCTCTACCAAATCTAGGTTCCCTCGAGACACTAATCTAACCGATAGGAGGGCAAGGGCAGTCGTCATTGTATCCCTTGCGCCCAGCACAATGCCTGGCACAAGGCTTAAATTCAGCAAATATTAAATAGATTGCATTGGGTTGGATTAAATTCTGCCTGGTGAACTTTAGCTTCTCCCTTGAGTCAGCCGTAGCTAATTATATCAGTCTTTGTTGAATCGTGGAGTGAGGAGACTCTAAAGGAATTCCAAGGTCTAACTGGGTAATCTGCTGCTATTATGACCACCAGTGCCCATTCCAAAAAAAGAGGTGGAGTTCCCATGGGAGTGACATTTCGCTATCTCAGTCTTAAAAACAAACAAGAGGACTTCCCTGGTGGTCCAGTTTTTAAGAGCCGCCTTCCAATGCAGGGGACGTGGAAAAATCCCTGGTCAGGGAACTAAGATCCCACATGCAGAGGGGCAACTAAGCCCACGTGCTCTAGAGCCCGCGTGCCACAGGGAAAGATCCTGCGTGCCTCAACTGAGACCCCATATATATATATATATATATATATATATATATAATAAGAAAGAACCATACCAAACAGCTTTTAGCAATATCTGTACTTTTCCGGTAGTACGTTTTGGTTAAGTCTCATACCAGATAATGCCACCTTGCAAGGAGTAATCCCAATTTCCTTGCACACGAATAATCATCTATCACTGGTTACAATGTGATACAGATAAACGGCAAAATAGAACTAAGCA